GTTGTTGTTGTTGTAGTAGTTGTAGTAGAAATAGTAGTAGTAGTAGTAGTAGTAGTAGTAGAAGTAGTAGTAGTAGTAGTAGTGGTAGTGGTAGTGGTAGTGGTAGTGATAATGGTAGTGATAATGGTAGTGACAATGGTAGTAATAGTAGCAGTAGCAGTAGCAGTAGGAGTAGGAATAGTAGTAGTTGTAGTAGCAGCAGTAGTAGTAGTAGCAGTAGTAGTAGTAGTAGTAGCAGTAGTAGTAGTCGTAGTAGTAGCAAGAAAGAAAATATTGATTTTATTTAAAAAAAATAAACCCAAATAACCTGAAAACAGGAAAGAATGTAGGTGCGATGGAAATCAATAAAGATAACATGAACCCAACCCACTATGATGCTTATGAAAAAAGGAAAGTGTAGGTAGCAAGGGAAACCCATTAGAAAATAAAAGCGGGTGGGGGGGCACGCCTCCCCCCGCAATGCGTACCAAGAAAGAAGCACATAGGCACAAGTGGTGATGGATATCCATAAAGGTAACATGAACCCAAATAAACGATGATGCTTATGAAAAAAAGAATAGTAGGTAGCAAGGGGAACCGATTAAAAAATAGAGGCGGGTGGGGGGGTGCAGGGGGGAGGTCGCAGCGCTTCCCCCGCAATGCGTACCAAGAAAGAAGTACATAGGCACAAGTCGCGATGGATATCAATAAAGATAAAATGAACCCAAATAAACGATGATGCGTTCTTTCTTTCTTTCTTTCTTTCCTTTCCTTTCCTGATTTTTGTTTTTTTGATCCATGCATTTTGCCTTTATTTTGTGCTAGTTTCCTTGTGTTTTCTCATGTTTTCTGGATTTTTTTTGATCCTTATTTGTTTTTTTGATCCCTCTCCCACATCCCGCGGCGTCGAGCTCAGAATTGCGGGGTCTGGTCACACCCCCAAACACTGTAACTTTGGAGGCTTGGGAGCAGAAATGATGGTCAAGCAGCTGACCTGTCAGAGATCAAGACCTGAGAGAAGCATGCAAAACCGCATGCCAAGGACATCTGGATAACACGAGACTCACAATAGCACAGAAAAAACTCAGGGACTCAAGAGCATGACCCCGTGATCTGTTCTCACACTTGCTTGGAAACCTTTACCAACGACTGAGAAAGCTCAAGCAACAAACGAGACAAATATTGCAAGATCAGAAAGCTGATTTGCACGCCTTGCCCCACAGGCCTGTTGATTTGTATGCTGATCCAAGGCTCTTGCTGGTTTCTCGCGAGGGAACCCATTCCTTTTCCTGTTCCTGAACCTGGCCAAGTGAGCCAGAGTCAGTGTCATTGCATGTCAATGCCATATCTTGCAAAAACTGCAGTGCTTCCAGACTAGCTCAGTGGCGTCTCTTGCGTTCTTTTACTATGTACAATGTACGACATGCACATGTGGCTGTGGCATCGCGGGGTTTGACAAGAACTTGTCACAGCTGTTGTGCCCTATGTGGCCTGCACCAGACGTGGTTTCCTCCCTTAGACATGGGCCTGGGCCCTTTCCCTCACCTCCAGCAAGGAAAACCAAGTTGGGTTGGGTTGGGTCCTGTCGTTCGTGAAGTGTAGCATTTCTTCTGCACGTGCACTGGCCTTCCAAATTTCCAACATTGTTGCCCGGATCACGTGGCTCCTGGCAGGTTCGCGCCTTGACTTGCATTCCTACAAAATTGCAGCGCCGAAATAACAAAAACATCGTATCACTCCAGAGCGTACTGTGCATAGGTGCATTTTGACCGTTCTACGTGTTCATCTTGAGAAGTTGGCAGTCAAGTCATTTGCCACCCAGCCTGCAGCAGCCGCGCGAGCTCCTCTGGTTTGAGTTGCTTGGCCGCGAGCGCCGCAATTCCCTTCGCAACTCATCCGGAGGAAGCCAGCAAGGAATCACTTTACTTCGAGTGACCCCCGCGCGGACAAATTAGTCTGACATTCTATCCGACTTTCTATCTGGCATCTTTTCTGGCATCCTTTCTGGCATTCAGACATTCTGTAGGTGTAACTCGGCGAGCATTCTTTCTGGCATGTGTTCGGGTCCTTGTGTGCAATCTAGACATGGGGTTCGGGCCCGTGTGCGCCCAAGCTGGGCTGGCATTATTTCGGGCACAAGCCCTGACATTCTATTTGGCTTTCTTTCCTGGCATCTATTCTGGCACTCTATCTGACATTCTTTCCGGCAACTATTCTGACATTCTTTCTGGCATTCTATTTGGCATCTATTCTAGCATTCTATGCGGCATCCTTTCTGGCATTCAGACATAGGCATAACTCTTGACATTCTTTCTGGCATGTGTTCGGGTCCTTGTGTGCCCAGATTGTCCAGGAGCTCGCAATAGGCTGATCTGTAGCTCGCAAGATACGGCACGCTTGGGCTGGCACTTCTGTGAGATCCGGGTCCCTTGGTCATGCACACCTTTCACTCAAATCTAGAGGCCCTCACGTGGCAGCTGCGGAGAAATAAATCGATGCAAAAACGCGCAAACATCTGTCAGGATCCGGCCTTCAAGGGAGCAGGATCGTCTTTGTTCGGGTCAGAACACGGGCCAGTGTTGGGCATGTGTGCCATGGCAGTAAAGATCCGGGCAGGAGTCGGAGCGGGTTGCACCTATTCGGATTGCAACCGGGATCGCGATGGGTTGAACTCCTGAGCCAGCTTAGTGGGGCATGTGTATGCTAATAGCTGTAACAGCGAGCACGATCTAGAGCACAGTTTTTTGCGCGAGGGAGAAACCCAAAAAGCACGATCTAGAGCAACGCTCAAAACAAACCTTGCCCAACGTACAAAAAGATATCATTTTTCAACTGTTACGCTGGTACAAGGTGTCAATATTAAGATATGTAGGCGTACACGCCCCTTTGCTACACACTAAGATGTCACCACCCACCTTTGAAGATAGTCATCTGCTAACGTACATGTCACTCGCGCGGCTTTGGGTAAAAGTAGGCTCGCAACACATGTGATCTTGCAAAGGCGGTGTTTGCACGAGAGCGGCTCGTAAGTTCCTGTCAGATGCTAGACATCGCTTCCATACCTTTATCAAACACTCTTAACCAAACAGCTTTGGCATCTTGTTCTTCTATGCGCTTTCTCCCAATCTGATGCCACCCATCATCCAAATACAATCCTGCGCTGAACACAAAAACCTGCTCAAATTGTTCCCGGCCATGCCAGGGCGGAAGTTTCGAAAAGGAGCCATGACTCTAGGAAACCAATGGCATATAGGAATCATCTCTGTCAAGTGCAAAAAGCGAATGACGTGAAAAGAAAGAAATAATGAATGAATGAATGAATGAATGAAGGAAGGAAGGAAAGAAGGAAGGAAGGAATGAATGAAAGAATGAAGGAAGGAAGGAATGAATGAATGAAGGAAGGAAGGAATGAATGAAGGAAGGAAGGAATGAATGAAGGAAGGAATGAATGAATGAAGGAAAAAATGAAGGAAGGAAGGAATGAATGAATGAAGGAAGGAATGAATGAATGAAGGAATGAATGAATGAAGGAATGAATGAATGAAGGAATGAATGAATGAAGGAAGGAAGGAAGGACGGAAGGAAGGAAGGAATGAATGAAGGAAGGAATGAATGAATGAATGAAGGAAGGAATGAATAAATGAATGAAGGAAGGAAGGAAGGACGGAAGGAAGGAAGGAAGGAATGAATGAAGGAATGAATGAAGGAATGAATGAAGGAAGGAATGAATGAAGGAATGAATGAAGGAATGAAGGAAGGAAGGAATGAATGAATGAAGGAATGAATGAATGAACGAATGAATGAACGAATGAATGAACGAATGAATGAACGAATGAATGAACGAATGAATGAATGAACGAATGAATGAACGAATGAATGAACGAACCAATGAATGAATGAATGAATGAACGAACGAACGAACGAACGAATGAATGAATGGACGAATGAACGAACGAATGAACGAATGAATGAACGAATGAATGAACCAATGAATGAATGAATGAATGAATGAAGGAAGGAAGGAAGGAATGAATGGACGAATGAACGAACGAATGAACGAATGAATGAACGAACCAATGAATGAATGAATGAATGAATGAACCAATGAATGAATGAATGAATGAAGGAATGAATGAAGGAAGGAATGAATGAATGAATGAATGAATGCATTCATGCATGAATGGACCAATCACTGACTGCATTCATGCATGTATGCACGATAGAATGAAAGAATGCAAAACTGAAAGAATGAAAGAAAGAAACATGAATGAGCGACTAAATCAATGAATGAACGAGCGAATGGAGGAACAGCGAAAACCTGCTCCCGGGCGGAAGTTTCGAAAAAGAGCCATGGTCCTACGAAATTAAAGGCCTGTAGGAATCTCTGTCAAGTGCAAAAACAATGAAAGATTGACCGCATCAGTAAATGAGCAAACAGTTTTTGAGATTCCAATGCCATGACATGAGATGCACACGAACCCACTGAATGGTAGAATCGCTGGACAAATGAGTCAATAGCAGAAAAACAAAAGGTGCAGGAAGGAAGGCATGAAGAATTGAGTGAATGAATGCCTGACTGACTGTGACTGGTTGAATCAATGAATGAATGAACCAACGAATGAACGAATGAACGAAGTGAAGTAAAGTGTAGTCGATCAAGCTCTCGCTACAGTCTCGTGCGCATTTTGGCGACTTTTGGAGATCGAGACCTGCTCCCGGACTGTTACTGTATACAGTTTCCACCTGCCAACTGTACTACCCCTGTGGTTGACATGATTACAAGACCGACCATAGACGTTTGTCCGTAACTTGGAAGTTTGCCAACTAAACTTCATTAATTCCATAGTTATACATAACCATATATATATATATTAAATCCATAGTTATATACACATATATATGTATATATATAATACATAACCATATATAACCATCATTAGCCATTATTAATAAGCATAACATGTCATCATCCACTGAATCCACGATGTGTGCTATGCTCCACGCCATCCGCTTGGATTTTTTCAGGCTTTCTCCAGACGCTCTTTGGCATCTGCCACATCCTGGGCCGCATCGCCCATGTAGAAGAAGACCAGCTCGCCTCCATCCTGGCGAAGCACAACTGGTTTTTGTTTTTTTTCAATCTGAATATCCACAAGATTTATCCCCAAGATAAGTCAAGATATCAAATCTTCAATCTGAATCTGAATGTCCACAATTCGGACATCCAATTTTAATGCAAATCAATCTTGCCATCTCTGCACTTTGAAACACATCTTCCACACATCTTCCACTTCCAAACGACCAAAACCGTCTGCGCAACGCACCTTGAACTCCGTATCGCGGATCCGCACCTGCCATACCACGGCCAGGGCTGTGACCCAGTGACGGCCACGGCAGCATGGTGGCACCTCGTCCTCCAGGATCCAATTCGCTGGGAAGTTGCGAAGGCCTTGGCCGTGGGTCTTTTCACTGGGCTTCTCCTTGGCGACCTCGGTGTGGAAATGTGGAGCTTGCAGCCCACGGTGGGTATACTTTGGCCAACTGGAGCTTGGGAAGAGTTGGCCAACTGAGTTACCCTCTGGTAATTTAATGGGAAAGATCCACCATTTTTTTAATGGGAAAATATCCACTATTTCGACTGGGCCATTTTCAATAGCGAACTGTTAAATTACCAGAGGGTAATATTTTTGATTTTTGGGGGCACCAGGGTACCAACCAACAACTGTTTCTGTTTGAGGATTGAGAGTCTTTGATGAAACTGGGTCAGGCCCCGACAATGATGTTCTCCACCTCACGTGAAAAGGTCGTTGTGTGACATGAACATGAGCCACAAAAGGCCAAGAAAGGCAATCTGGGGAGTCTGGCAAACTGATTGGACCAGTAGTGCCATGACCAAATTTTCAGTGTTGGTATTTATTAATTATCCATGACTAGCCCAAATTTTTTAACCATATCCACCTGAGCTTTTGAAAATCATCAAGACCTTGGTGGCTTCGCACCTTCAAACCAGGCATTCGCAGTGCGAGCCAATGCTTGCTGTGCTTGACTGTCTGAGAAGGCTTCAAGCAAATCTCACAGAACTTACCTGAGCCACACAACAATGCATCAGTGCAGAATGATTGGCTATGACTGGTTACTGACTGCTTCATGGTGCTATAAATGCATTAATTACAACATTTCTAGCAATGCACTGCGAAGTATTTTGTGGCTTGGGGCAAGTTGCTGTCATCGATCGGAGACAATGCATACAGCACAATGGGCTCCTCATAGACATTGCACAGCTAGCAGCAGCAAGCATGATTTCCGGACTTCCATCTTATGGCATCATTATCAAACCATTTAGATCATTTAGCACCTTCAATCTAAGAAAAATGTGTCAGATTGTGTCAGTGAAATCTAGCTTCAAAGTTGGAGACCTACGTTCAGCAAAAGATCCGCATCGTAGTATGTCGCTGTTTCGGAGGCGGGAGGTATCCGCCGCGGCCATGGTTCAGCCAGCATAATTTGCGGCTCCTCTTCATCAGATTTCACTTCTTCCAGCAGAGGACCAGGTTGGTTGAAACCAGGTCCTTCAACCTCGGATGGCGAACCATCTTCCCCAAACAGCCATAATCAAAGATTTGATTTTTGGAAGATCTCCAGATTTCCCAAAGCGAAC